AGACTATATGCAGATTATAGTTAGACTATATATAGACAATATGTAACATCTGTCAACTAATGAAGTGGTTAAGTAGATAAAGTAAGTGATAATGACATAAAAATCTAGACTTAAATCCTACCAGTGATAAGCGTGTATTTTTAAATACGATAAAATGTAGAATCAATAAAATGGATAAAATGTCTGGTAAAATCATTATATACTAACTTAGGAACAATCTACTAATCTTAGGAATAATCTACTAATCTTAGGAATAATCTACTAATCTTACGAATAATTTAAGAAAAATAATAAATTTTTAGTTGAAAATATGATATAATTATGATATAATTTTACCATTACTATTATTATTATTTATTTTATTCATAAAGCAACATTCATTTAAATATTTTTGATACAATAACAAAATACATTTTAAGACGATGTTGAAGTGGATCATGAACTCCAAAAATATCGAAAATTGTGCCAGTCGAAGTTAGAGTGAGAACTCACTCCGAACGAGTGAAAATATTGCTCGCTTGGAGTGAGTTCTCACTCGTTTGGAGTAAAATTCTTACTCTAACTTCGACTGGCAAATTCTCACTACCTTAGAATGAAGTCTCACTCCACTCCAGAAATTTAGAGTAAACGAAAGTAACTTTTGTTAACTTTTGTTAACTTTTGTTAAAGTATTATTTTCTTATATAATACAAGATCTTTAATTATCTTTATCAGATGCTTGAACTAAACTGTTTTGCTGAAGATGCTATATTTTTTTCTGGTGACTTCTTAAAGATGTCCAGATATCTCCGGGTCATCTCTAGAATGTATTTCAACATTTGTCCTACATGGATTTACCGTATCGTGCGTGATCATTTACTAAAATAAATAGTAAATGATCACGCACGATACGGTAAATCATCTGTGATAGCGATGTGCCTTCGTGTGCTTGTATGTACATTAGATTAAAAACTGAACGAAAAAATCCTTTACCATTTTGAAATATATTTTTAATTATTAATTAAAGAAGATTGGTGTATAATCATGCGCAATAATAATGGTGTATAATAATGCATCAATTTTCTTTTATTAATAACTAAAAATCTACAGTCATTTGCAAAATTGTAGAAGACCTTTTGTTCAGTTTGAACTAATGTACTAACGACGTCGACACAGCTCATCTACCGTATTGAGCGTGATCGCATTCATCGATCTTCTTTAATTAACAATTCAAAATTTTATGTGGTTATTTACTAAATAATAGAGGAATTTTGTGTTTAGCTTGATTAAATCTACCTGTACACAACGTATGATGTGTCAATCATTGTCAGACACCTTGTATACTTACAAAGTCGAAACTCTGGATCTAGGGAATGGAAAGGTATACATAACGCAGTATAAATATTCGTTTTCAGGACAGTTTGTACACGTTTTTTTCAGTAACCAAATGTAATCAGTTGACCCTTTATTATATATCTTATCTGATAAAACAAAGATCTGATAGAATAAAATGTAATAAAAGTCTCAGATAACACAAACTTGTAAGAGAAATCTTGGAAACATTTCAACAACCATTTTATTCAAAGAGATCCCTTATAGAAATATCATACTAAGAATCATTGATAATTACTTATTATCCAGTATTTTTAATACTGAAAATAAGTAATTATCAATGATTCTTAGTATGATATTTCTATAAGGGATGCTGGAGTCGATGACGAACTCGAACAATATCGATAATACAGAGACGATCGTTACTAACATAATCACGCTATCCTTTTCGTATTTCTTGTATATACAGAACTTACATGAATATATGTTACTTTGTTTTACTCTAATCAACAGAAAACCTAACCATATATGTATAGAAATCTTTTAACAAACTTTTTCTTAAGCTTCCAAATGCAGATGCGAAGATAGAGCAGTGTTCTTCAAAATTTTTTTGTTTGGAGCATCCACACTTTCGATATACACAAGCTGCAGAACTTTTGGGTTAGACAAATATTACGCTAACTGACAGACCTTTATAGAAATTTAATACTGATAAGTAATAATTTGGCCAGTGATAATTACTGTCGTTCAATAATTTCATTACTCGTACGAGTAATAAAATTATTATTTATTACTGGTCAATTTATCATAGCTAGTAATACTTTTCTATAAGGGAGCTTGAGATTTTACATTAAAAATGTTTTGTTCGTTTTCGTCACATATCGAGCAATGCTCTTATTTATTTTTGCACGTACTTTTATTGCGTAAAAGCATTTGTAATTCGATGTAACCAATACGACGTAAACTTTACAGAAAAATGTCAGTGTTCTATCGGTAAAGTTTTTAGCTTCAGTATCCCCTTAAAGGGATGCTGGAGTCGATAATGAACTCGAACAATATCGATAATGCAGAGACGATCGTCACTAACATAATCACGCTATTTTTTTGTATTTCTTATATAGAACTTACACGAATATGTATTGCTTTGTTTTAGACATCTTCAACGGAAAATCTAACCATATATATGTAGAAATCTTTCTGCAAACTTTTTCGATATTTTTAAGCTTCCAAATGCAGATGCGAAGGTAGAGCAATGTTCTTCAAAATTTTTCTGTTTGGAACATCCACACTTTCGGTATATACAAGCTGCGGAACTTTTGGATTAGGCAAATATTACGCTAACTGATAGCTTCAGATTTTACATTAAAATTTTTTTGTTCGTTTCCGTCACATATCGAGCAATGCTCCTATTTATTTTTGCACGCACTTTCATTGCGTAAAAGCATTTGTAATTCTGTGTAATCAATACGACGTAAACTTTGCAGAAAAATGTCAGTGTTCTGTCGGTAAAGTTTTCAGCTTCAGCATCTCCTTAAGAGTCTTTTAGACGTCTTTTAGGTGTCTTTGAATTGCTCTTAATTCCTATCTTAAAGTGATTAGATTTCCATCTTTTTTCATGGTGCTATGGCACTAAAAACTATGACACATTTCACTAGTATTATTAAATATATGTATTATTTACATGTAATTTAATCTATTTTTCTATATTGTACAGAATAGAACTATATAAAATATAAATGAAATATGTAAACAAACATGGAGTGACGTACTGACCATATCCGCATGCGCAGAATTATATTCTTTAGTACATACTATTCATAGATATTTTACATAAGCGAAATTTAGAGAGTTAATAGTCTTGTAATATATGTTTGTGTTAACCCTAGGTATACACTGAGGTATATACTGGTATATACTGGGGTTTCCGAGACCCCAAGCAAAGTTTGGAACTCTTTTAGTATTAGTAGAAAGAATAAGTAAGGAAGATACGACCGTATGAAAAAAATTTGAAGTCTCCTTTATAGATAGCAACTGTCGGAGCAGTCAATTATCTGTCGGTTTTATGATAATTCACACGTAAAGTAAGCCCGGGGTCTCCCAGACCCCAGTGTGTACTTCGTGCAACTTTTTTTGCAAGTATATTTTGTAATTAATTTTATTCGAATTCATATGTGTAAATATTCTAAAAAATGTCAGATTAAATAAGTAATGTAAAAAAAAGAACTAATTTTTATTGGTAGACAAAAACACATGGACTAAACGCCCAAAATAATACTGCCTTGTTGGGTGAATGTTATTTGTCGCTTTTAAATTATTGACGTTTTTCTTTTTCTGTTTTTATTACATGCATTACAAGTTATTGAGTTTGTATTTTTTAACAAAAATCCTAACTCTTATACCTGTCTGCAAAACCGCCAAAAAATAGAAATATAAAAAATCGTTAATCTTGGAATCTTATAATTTTCATGATAATATTCCAATATTATCATGATGATTTTTTTCTTTGTTCTTTGAAACATGTCCTTTCAAAATCTGAAAACTTTTCGATTATCTCTATTACCAAAAAAGATATGCAAGCTATTATAGTAAAATAGTTTTTCAAGCTATTATAATAAAATGACGTTTCCTTTGGATTTAAGAATAATTCTAATGTTTTAACACGTCTTAATTATGTGATGCTTTAATTCTTAATTATGATTTAATTCTAATTCTTAATAAATATATGTGTTTTTCAGTCTATTAACAATCGGAAAAAAGTCAAAATACGGTGATTTTTATCGGAGTTATAATAAAAAAAGTAGCTGGGGTCCTTCAGACCCCAGTGTAGCATTTACGTGTGCGAAAAATAAGTACCTAGGATTAAAAAGGCATCTAAAAGACATCTTATTTCTTTTAGACGTCTTTTGGATATCTCTGAGAGATAAGTTGTGTTGGTTATCACTTCTGCTTCTGTTATAACAAATTACCATGCAGACTCGCGAATAGTGGATCACAATCGTGTGATCATTTGATGCGCTCCTAACTTCATCAGAAAACAAACGTTCAAACCGTTTTGCAAACGAGTGTATGTACACATACTTGGCGCGAAAACACACTTTCGCCTTCCCGAAACTTCAGCTAACCGTGGATCAAACAAACAATAATCGTTCGAAATCCGAAAGTACCAAAGTATCAATCGTATGAATTCTCGCGCGAGTCTCTCATTGACTTGTCTGGCGTTTTCATTTCCGAGGAACGTATTCTGAAGACGCGAGTTGCACGAGTGCGCGTGCCTCTTATCGTCCGCAGCGCCAAGAGAAACGAGTCAGTCTACCGGGGAGATCAAGCCAGTGTTGCACGGCCCTGGACGGCCGGAGGAATCGGGAGATTCGCCGCGAGAGGCGCAGCGTCGCGACGCTCGTTGCCTCGCTCTCGCGCGTGTCGCAGATTATGCCGCATTGCTGCAAGCATTCGCCATCGACGCGACGCCGGCCAACACGGCCGCACCAGGACACAGCTGCGGTGGAGGCGACGGCGGTGGCGGCGACGGCGGTTGCGGGCAACGGCGTTGGCGGTAGCAGCTTCTACGGGCTGAACGCGGAGCGGAGCGGAAGCAGAAGCGTGATCCGGCGCGATTGCGGACACGTCAACATGAGGCACGTTATCGCCGTAGAAGACGACGAGGAGGACGAGGCCGAATCGTAGATAAAGCGCGAAAAACGGATCGAAAACGGCAAGAAGCAAACGGATCTCATTACCTGGATTCCTGTGAGGAACCTGACAATCAGCAACACGATCATGAACGTCCGCCGGCTGCCCGGTTTCGTGTACAACTACAAGCTCGCGACTATCCTCCTGCTGTCCAGCCTGTTCCTCGTCGTCTACCTGCTTCTACATTGGGGTATAATGTGCACGAACCTCGAGGCCTGGCGACACGTATCCAACGTGGTGAGTCCGCTGGTCGACGACGAGTTGTCACTCGTCCACAGCGATCGGCGACGAACACGGTGCGCGGCGCGCGCGATCACGGCGTTTCCGCGATTCCGCGATGGGGGTTCGCACGATGGGGGTGTCTCGGGATGGTGAAGATGTGCGAGTGAATCCTGCGCCGGTGAGAGAGGGTGAGAGAGAGAGAGAGAAGCGGACGCACGCGTACTCTGACGTGGTCTCTTCGGATGGCCGAGAAGGGAAGCTGCAACTGTAACGGATTTTGTATACATCGGTTACTTACGACACCTAAAGTGACGTTTGCATTTGCAATTATTCAAAATTTTGCATGTTCCCTCGTTGTCACATACAAAACGAGAAATTGTGAAGCTGACAACTGAATTTGACGATTAATTAGCTGTTTACATTCGGTTGTTACATTTTTTACGCGCTTAGGCAAGCTTATATTTATATTACGATAACTGCAACAGCTACAATTACGAGTTTGAATATGTTACATGCATATATTATTTGAAGCAAATTGTGATTTTTATATTTTCATCCTTCTATGTAATAAATATGAGTGCTATATAAACTACTTATAAGAAAAGCATATATTTATAAATCGAGATATAAAATTGCTACCAAATTTACATACACTGAGTGCAAAAAGTATATTCGTATAAGAGAGATTTCCTTGAAAAAGTTTTTATTAAAAAAAATGAATTTTAATTAATAATTTATTAATAGTAAATATAATAAATGCTATATTTCTCAATATTATTTTAACAAAAAGAATATAATAATTCGTCCTAATAATCAACAAGAGTAAAAACTTATGTTAATTTAGTGCACAGAAAACGTTGTTAGTTGTTGACAAATTTAGTTTCTAGGATCACGAACGCAAATGTTTTCGTGGAGGTCTTTTATATTTACATTAGGAATACGTGTTTATTTCTCAATTGATCCTCAGGCGATTCTCAAAGGACATTGATATCAGTCTTATTGCATTATTTGAACAAAATGTGTCTCAAAAGTAAGAAGACTAGCGAAAAGGGAGGAGTGAAAAAAATTGTTACTAGATTACACAATCTTTGCGCAGAATTACTCAGCTCATCGACCGACCTTGATCGGCGCAGTCCAGTCAATAATTAACCGTTTCTGCAGAAGAAAAAAATAGTTAAAAATAAATTCAGAGGTGGCCGACGAAGCCTTAACCAAAATCGACAAACGTTTTATTCTTCACCAAATAAAGCTGGACCTAAAAATGAGTGCTCCAAAAATCACAAATAAAACTCAAAATCGCGATAGAGAAATTTCCGTTAACACAATCCGAAATGTATTGCGCAAGAATGAATATCATGGCCGTGTTGCCAAGAAAAAGTTTTGGGTATTGCGGCTAATTGCAATAAACGATTAGAATTTACGAAACAATATCTCAGTAAAACGGATTAATACTTGGACACGATTATTTTCCTAGATGAGAGAACATTTTGTATTTTTAATTCCGATGGCAGACGTATGGTGTAGCGGAAAAGAAATACGGAGAACTTGACCCAAAAAATCTCATATACCAATAATTAAACACGACGGCGATTCTGTACTTGTATATAAGCTGTGTACTTGTATAAAGATATATAAGCGTAACATGGGAGTCGGTAATTTACATTTTATTGATAGATCACAAAGTATATATAGAGATTTTGGAAGAAAATGTTCTTACTACACAATTTCTTAATGCACAAAAATTAAGAATTACCAACAAATATATTTTCTAATGACAATGGTCCTGAGCATACGACATATATAACACGAAGCAATAGCTTTTATGCGTTATCAAAATTAAATACGCCTCCTCAATCATCGAACTTCAATTCTATAAAATATTTATGGAAATTTCTTGGAAAGAGGATACTATTAGGAAAAGATAGATTTCTAATCAAAAAAAGATTTAAAATCAGCTCTTCAAGAAAAGTAAGACTCCATCTCGTCAACTGTCACGTGATTAGCCAACAAATAAAATATGAATTAATAAGTTGTTTGAATTAAAAAAATATACGAACACTTTTTGTGCACTGAATTAACATAATTTTCGTTAATTATTGGGAAGATATATTTCAATTATAACATTCTTTCTCCATAATAATAATATGAAATATAGTATATATGTATTATATTCACTGTTAATAAGTAAATTGTCAATTAAAACTCATTTTCTAAAACTAAAGGTTCTTTTTTTAAAGAAATCTCCTGTACACAACCTAAAATACCTTTTACATTTTCATTGTATTATAAATAAAATAAAAAATTATAAATAAATAAATAATTATAAAAAATTATAATTATTATTATAATTTTAAATATAAATAAATAATTATAAATAAAGTAAAATTAGAAAAATATAGCATAATTAAAATCCCAAATGTTTAAGCTTTCCAACAAAATCAATTTTGTGTATGTATTTAATACACAATGTATACATGTATGTACTTAATACATATATTATTAATTAATTAATTTATTTTCATAATGAAGTTGCTTGATCACTAATCGGGACATTCACATCCTATTTCTGTTTCGTTATTCTATGTGAATGCCTTATGAATCACTCATAAGGGACCTTTACAATTCGAATAATAAAATTCTTGTTAAATTTACGTACACCTGTTTATCTGAGAACTTACCGTCAACAATTCTTTTGATTATTGATGCGAAGTTTACTGGTAAATTTTGATTGCGACGCCAATAACCTGGCAAAAGCGCGTGCCAGTAACCTAAATAGTCCTCTAGCTATCGATCCCTGTAAAATTTTCTTAATTTCGCCGAGATCGATCCGCGCCTGAAAGCAAGAGGTATTCTGGTTTGCTCGTGCTTAACCGAAACTCGCATTTCATCAATTTCACAAAATCACGCAGCGAGCGCCGCTAAATGAATGCACAGCTCGATTAGAAAGGTCGTCGCTGAAGTCTTATACGATTCAAATACGTCACTAGTCATTATATTCTAACAGCACTGTCACAACGTAGAATTAAAAAGAAAATCACTTACGTAACACTCGACCAGCACACGCGAGGCCGATCATCGTGGGACGAAATATTGCATGTGACATTCCTAGAAGCTCCGTTGAGCATTTGTTCGATCAAAAGCTTCTCTAAAAGGGACTTGGTAATTACTCAGAAAGAGACTTTCATGACTACCATGACATGAGACAATCGGTAATAAAAAATTTATTCTTTTAATTACATTTATGAAGCAAATATACTGTGTTTATTGAGTTAATTATTAAATTTATATAATTTACAATAATGTAAATTTTTTGTTATTTTTATGCAATAGTAAATTTATGAGCAATTATATTCAAATTGCCATATTATATTTTGCAGAACATATTGTTTTAAGTAAATTTAGATAATTTTATTTAGTAAATTTGATATTCCGTGATAGTTTTGAATTTTCTAATAAATATGGGTAAATTTTAATTTTTCTTTTGTTTCCGTATTTCGATTTCGTCATTCTATATGATAATGTGAGTATCATATAAGTTACACATAAAGAACGACGCAATCTTTATAAACCGAGTAATAACTCTACTGAAAAAATTTTATTGAGATCTCAAATAAGATTTCCGAAAAATTTCCTGTATAAAATCTCAATTATTTTATATATCTCAATTGAAGTATCATATAAGAAAGTAAAGTAATAATATCTCAATTGAGATATTATGTGAGAAATACAAAAAGCTTTTCCTTTTTAAATTTTTAGATTATATTATAAATATCAAATTATATTATATGTAATATAATATTTATAATATAATCTAGAAACTTTATATATTATTATATATTATAAATAAATTAATAATATATTATAAATAATTAATAATATTAAATATTATTATAAATATCAAATTATATTATATGTAATTTAATATTTATAATATAATCTAGAAACTTTTAAAAAGGGAAAGCTTTTCTATTTTTCACATGATATCTCAATTAAGATATCATATAAAATAATTGAGATCTCATATAAGAAATTTTTCGGAAATCTCGTTTGAGATCTCAATAGAAACTTTTCAGTAGGGAAAGTTATTGCCAAATTTACGTACACCCGTCTATCCGGATATTCTCTATCAGGAAGCATGCAAAGGAGTATTTGTACTACGCTTTATCTTTCATCGCTGATGTCCTTCTCTGCGAGAGATCTTTCGAAAAAAATGATCATTGAAAAAAAATAGAATATGTAAATATGTCTCTTCTATTCGTTGCACGTTCGTATATTTTCCTGTCTCTTTCTTCTTTTTGCGAGACAAATATCTGTCGGCAATACGGACCTTGAAACGGCCGCTTACGTGCGCGAAATGTAACGTCGTGGCAGCGTGATAAATCATTCCATTCCGAGAGCATTTTCGGTAAGTCGCTTCGGAAAAGAGTACGCAGGCACGCGTGGCATGTATACACAGGGATCACGCAGTCACGGGTCCTCTCCCAACGGCGTCATCGGACCGACTAAAAATATCGCACGTACAACGAGCCTGTGTGTACGTACAGCATTCCCTTCTACCAGCACGCGCGCGTGAGCAAGTAACGTGTGGTCCGCTCGAATATGGGCGCTCATCATGTGTATACATGTAGCAGCGCCCACGCGCGCAGAGTAATTCTCCTTCATTGCTCTCGATTCGCGACCCGGACGGCGTACGGCGAGAAGAAACTGTCTGTACTGAAACGAGCGCCCGTGAAGTACAGAGTGTTTTATAACAAATAATATAACTGAGATAGTAAGAGAAGGGATAATTCCTTGTACAAGGATAAATCGAAAATGTAAAATAAAATTTCTTTATCGAAATCTTGTTTTCCCAGATTGACTTTTATTATTATTACGACATGAGATAATCGATGATGGAAACTTAAAATTTTTTTAATTACACTTAAAGCGTAAATATACTGCATTAATCAAATTAAATTAATCATTATAAGCTTACATATACATTGCACAATAATGTATATTTTTATATTGCTATAGCAACAAATCTACTAAATACCTAAATAAATAAGTGTATATAAATCTGACTTTATTGCATATGACATTCATATTTTTTTATTACATAGAATAACGAGAAATAAAAAGATACGAAAAATATTTTAAAATTTTATTAAAATTTGCTCAAAACAATAAGTTCTATAATATAAAGATCTGAATGTAACTTTTAATAAATTTGTTGCCACATTAATAACAAAAATTTACATTATTATATGATTTAAATTTGATTTAATACAGTATGTTTGCCTCACAAATATAATAAAAAAATTATAGAGTTAATATAACGTATTGTTTTGAGTAAATTCAGATCATTTCTTTTGTCTATTTTCATTTCGTATGTCTATTTCATTACTTTGTGTGCGTGTGTCCACACGTAAATATATATATATGTGCGTGTTTGTAATAAATATTAGTGTCATATGAAATATTCATAAGGGACGTAACTTACATATTGCATAACTTACATGTTGCGTAAGTTGCTGTCAAGTTTATGTACATTTACCTATCTGGGTTTTTTTTCAGAGAAAACTAATTTTTTTTAATATTTATCAAATCACGTGCGTATTATTTGAATCTATATTTGTCGTTCTATAAATAATTACTTTTACCTATTTTTATAAACATTTGCTGTTAGGAAGATTTTATTTCTGTCAGTTCTACAATCTTATTTGTTTATCTGAATCATCAGTCAATAATACGACGAATATATAATTCTGGATATACAGCAAAGAAAGAGGGACTACTTTCATCAATTTCTCATAAATTAATTAATTTTAAAATTTACTTTGTATTTTTTTTACAACCTTACAAGTTTTAAAATCATTTATAACCAAAATTATATACTATGTAGCAAACATAATAACTGTCTAAAGTGTCATTCGCCAAATCATATCATAACAAGGAAGCAACAGGAAGGAACAGAAAAGTGATGCTTGCTGATTTTATGACAGACTTTAAATATAATATATTCTAAACAATCAAAAAAGTAGCATACAAAAGATTGTTATACGCGCTTTTTTATATGTTTAGGGCTCAAAATTGATTGTGGGTAAATATCAGCGCCCGAATATATTACCATATTTTTTTCTACTTTTCTTTATTATGGAACATTCTCGATTTTCGAAACCGTGAGATAAATAAGAAATGTTTTATGTTGTTTGATTTTTTTTATAACTGAGTATTGAAATTCTTCAAAAATATGATTTTAGGACATATCCTCAACTCTTATATGATATTTTTGAAAAATTTTAATGTTTCATAAAATGAAACTTAACATGAAAAAACTTTATTCTATATTTTCGGCTTATTTTCGCATAAAGAGAATAACCTTCTTTTTTATTGTATCGTCTATTATGAAATATTTGTTCGGCCAATATCGTTAGACGACTGAATTTGTTTTTTCTTGTTTTAAGAAAAAGAAATTTTCGTAATTTCTCGGTTAATATCATAAAGTTTCTGAAATATAAAGTGGAATTCGACACATTAATGGTTATAATACTTAAACACATACTTAATACATTTAATACTTAATATTTGATAATTAATATTACGTTTAATATTATATTTAACACACGCATATACTTAATATACTTAATATACTTAATATACTTAATATACTTAATATACATACATACTTAGACAGATATATTTCGACATATTTTTTGCTTAATAATTAAGTACAATTACACAAAGATGCATTTTCATACAATAAGAACTTTATCAGTACATAAAAGTAGTCATTTGATGTCATGAAAATTGCTGCTTATTTTGGCGGAAAGAGAACGCAATTAATTTGGAATTATTGTAGCAATAAGAAATAAACATTTTAATTATTGCGTAATAACAGGATATTTCTTCAAACGATCATATTTTAAACACGTTCTGCTATTGCAATTGCATCAAAATACATTAAATACGTTCGCAACGTATACATCAAGCGCCGCGGTCGCAGCACGACGCCGAATACGTATCGAATAAAACAACGCGACCATGTAAGCTTATCTGGAATTTCTAGGTCGATTAGTCTTCCGAGTCAAATATCTCAAGCACGAAAACTATAATTGAAAATCTGATGAAAATTTCCTTATATAATGTTTAGCGCGCGCGTAATTTGCACCAAGTTTGATTGAAATTGATGCAGGCAATACGGAGATCTCGAAATCTCGTTCTCGCTAAAAAGTCCTTTTATTTTCGCGCAGATTCTCAGATTTTTCAGATTCAGATTTACACGTACGCACACAAGCGAATGAGTTTATCCATTAAGCCGCGTTTGCATCGCCAAGCGATTTAACTTCAGATCACACGTATACGTACGCACACAAGCGATGCGCGTTTGTCCGTCAAATTGCGTTTGTAATATATATAGGCTGCAATAAGCAGCATGTATCTATAAAGATTGCCATTGATTCACGAATTTACGCTAGAGGAAAAGATTTATGATCGACCATTAGATGTACATATCAAGCTACATTTATAATTTCATGTACAATTTTTTATAGTTTTATACCAATCTGCACTTGTGACGTTCGCGATCCGCACTGCAAACGTGTAATCTAAATTTGAAATTAATTGGTGAGACAGAAAATATTTTCGTAGATGAAATATTATAAAAATTTCCGTATAGACTGCATCAATCAGAATGGATGCATATTACGTGCGTAATAAACATTAAATCGATCATATATTTTTTCGCCTAGCGTAAACTCGTAAATAAAATAGAATAATTTCATCGATAAATTCAATAAAGTTCAATGATTACTACTGCGTTCCGATATTCATTGCCAGTACTGAAGATCTATAGTTTGTGTCGTGTATACGTATAGAGTTTCAATACTGGCAGTGAATATTGGAACGCAGTCTGCGAGTTCATATTAGAGGAAAAGATACATTACTACACGAAGAAAATTTTATAGTAAAATGTATTACAAATTTAGAGATCCAATCAAACCATATTCTATTACTTTAATTGCCAGAAAAGTTGGAAAAATTATATACTTTACAAGAATTAATAGAATACAATTTTACAAGTTGGAAAAATAGTAAAAAAGTATGTACTCATTGTGGAGAAAACTTAATATAATTGAGATAATAAAAAAACGAGATAATAGTAATAAAAAATATTTTTATTTTAAAATTATAGTTATTTAAAACTGCTAATAACAAAACGTTTAAAATCACAAATTTAAAAATTAAAGGTATATCTACGTCAAAGATACGTATAAGCACAGATATATATAAAATTGTTAGTGTAATTTTCCACAATGTTAAAAGTATAATTAATGGACATTATACAAACGCTGTGCGAAGTAAGCACACAAAATGAATTTCAATTAATGATTCCACAATAAAAAAATGTAGTTGACCACGAAACTTCAAAGATGCATATATTTCCTTTGCTGAAAAGGTAATATAATAAGATTTGTATCTAAATAATCTATATAAAAAGCAGTGAGATCGTAACAGTCAAAAGAAAAAAAAACGCCGAGTACGTATCAAAACAAAAACTACAAAACTAAAAGTACATGTTAACTTAATCAAAGTATAGGTGTCTTAAATTAGTTATAATCAAAAAAGTAGTAAGATCATATAATAAACCAAGTACGTGTATGTAAGTACTTATTACACAAATAATTATGTGATAAGTATCAATAATATTAATAATTGAACACTAAAATATCCAAATATCAAATTAAGAAAAACATCGAGGATAAAAACTCGGCGTGCCCAATTAATACATAATTCTTCAATATAAATGTTTATAATGTTACTAATAATTTTATGTACATTATTAAAAAAAGAGATATATATATATATATATATATATATATATATATATATATATATGCACTATGGGGAATTCTATATTAATGTTTCATAAATTCAAGACTGTGTGTCGCTGTATATAGGAATAACTTTTCTGTATGAATATATTTATAAATTTATTTATGAATTTATTAATTGGGGCACGCCGAGTTTTTGATCCTCAATGTTTTTCTCAATTTGATACTTGTATATATCAGTATTCAATTATTAATATTATTGATACTTATCACATAATTATTTATGTAATAAGTACTTACATATATGTACTTGGTTTATTATATTGATCTTACTTCTTTTTTTATTATAACTAATTTAGGACATCTATATTTTGATTAAGTTAACATGTACTTTTCGTTTTGTAGTTTTTGTTTTGATATGTACTCGACGTTTCTTTTTCTTTTGTAAAGATTAAAATACTATGTTCAGCGTTTCTGTTTATCTTAATATTACTTAATATACTGAATATTAATTACTCAATATTATATTTAATATTTATATACTTTATACATTTGTGTAAAATATGATGTAAAATGATATTTATAACTTTATTCGTTATAAATATATAATTACGTTTTCAATCCTCGTTTCACTTCTCTTTCTCACGGAATATTTCCGATGCGACTCGCGAGCTTCGCGACTCTGCTACTTGCCATTCGTGCGGTATCCGATCGTAATTTTCAATTTTAGTGCAGCTCACATCGAGATGGCACCGCCATGGGAATTCTCTGTGAGCCACTGTGCACCGAAAAGGGGATTCACTCGCTCGCATGCGAGACACTTCACGCGGGCAAGGAGGCAGTATTCTCGGCGCACTGGGAAACTACTCGACTTGTCTTCAAGGCTTCGAGGTACATTCCTACGTCTCCTTTTGCATTGTAATATAATGAGATCTTATCCAGAAGTCGCACGTCCAGAAGTGCGACTTGCATGCACGAGCGCTTGCTCTTGCCGTTTTCGTTTTCACGTTAGAGAAAATCGACCTCCAATCGCGGGACGAATTAACACAACCGATATATGCATAGCCAATCTGTTCCGCTATCTAGGACTAAAACACCCTCGGAGCAATTTGAGTCGCTCTACTGGGTGGACGCGACCGGTTTACGGCACTTCCCGTCCGAAGAGGACTTCGCCAATATGATCAAAGACTTGATGGTTAGCAAACTGAACATGACGCTGTCGCAACATCAGTTGGAGCGACTCGCCCGGCTGCGTACTCACCGGGTGGAGACCGATCTCGTGCGACGTCGCCTGGAAATGGAGAATCTCTGGCCGTTGCTGCAAGAGAACGAGTACCTGATGATGATCCTATACGAGGACAGAGACGTGTTCCCGCAACTGATCGGTACCTGCGGCACTTTCTACGCCGTGGAATATGTCAGGCCCATCGAGACCCCAACGACGGTGCTGGCGTTGTCCGACTCAAAGCCTGAGTGGGCCAAGCGGCTTAAGCTCGCCGTGATGATCCTCGACCTGCTCGAGGAACTGGAGACCAATATGCCCGAGCCATTCCATCTCTGCGATGTAAAGATCAATCACTTTGGTCTACCGTTGGGTGGACAGAAGCTTAAATTCCTAGATCTGGATGCAGTTTTCCCCAAAACCGTGATCGGCCGTATCATCACCGACGGCAAGAACTGTGAGAAGCACGAAGACTGTGATTACTTCGACTGCCGGTCGGTGTGCTCGAAGAGCAAGCGCTGCGAGACGTCGGTCCTTAACAATAATCTGCAGGTGAGTGATTAACATGCTCTCACCGTTTCGGATTTTATCGGTTACTCTAAATAAAAAAAAAACAGGAAATCAACAAAGTCATAAATAGACTTTCATGACTTTCATAACGTGAAACAATAAATGATGGGAATTTTACAATTATTTTAAGGAAAGGTTCTATCTAGAAAGAAGTTTAGAAAGCCAAAAAATAGATTTTGACGAAATTTTTTCAGAGAAAAAAATAACAATATTAATATAAGGTTTTGACCATTCTATTTATCATTATTTTAAATATTAAAAAAATTTTTTTTATTTAAAGAAAAATTAAAATTTCGTCGTCCAGGACAATATTCAGAGTAATAATTTGAAACAAAAATGAGAAGAAAATTCACAAACAGTATGAAATTTATTGAAAAATAAACCTAAATGCTTTGGAAAATTTCCAAAATCACTATTCTTTTTGGCATATAAAAGAAAAAAAAAGAAAAATTACTTAAAATTTCGAAGTGCTACCATTTTGTTAAATTTCGATTTTCTGCATATGACAAAAATTCATCCTACAGCAAGTTTAATACAGTTCTTAAATTTTCTCGTTTCATTTATTTCAGATTATTACATGATTTATAATGTTGTCCATCAGTTAGAGGCCAGCGACACCACGCTCAGCACAAAATATTTAGACAGAATTTAAAATTTTTTAAATAATTTTTTTGTACTCTCTTAAAACAATGATACTTATAGATATGATTAAAACTCTATAATGATATCTTTATTCGTTTCTCTTAAAAAAGTTCATAAAAAAGTTTCTATTTTTAACTATCTAAACCAGAACTTCAATTTAATTACATTTATAAAATGAATATATTGAATTTAAGTTTACATCACACAATAATGTAAATATTTTATTGCATTATGCATATGCAGCAACAAATTTATTAAAAATTACACTCAGATTTCCATATTACATTTTACATGATATATTGTTTTGAGTAAATTTTAATCATTCTTTTCGTGTATTTCTATTTTGTCACTTTATATGATAAATATGTGCGCCATATGAATCATTCATATAAGGAATAAAATCTTTATAAATCGACTAGTAAAGTTGCTCTCAAATTTATGTATACTTAATCTAGTTAGGGAAATAAAACCCGAGCAAACGCTATAAACCTTGCACTCTCTCTTCTTGTAGATCGTCTGCGAAAAGATCTTCCTCGGCTGGACGCTCTCGGGAACGCTAATTATTCCTGGGTTGCTAATGTCGGAACATACCACCAGCAGTATGGCCGTACTGTTAAGACAATGCGCTAATCCACATAGCGACACGAATTTACCGCGCGCAGCAGCATCCGAGGAGGTAAAGAAGCGGCTGTACAATATGCTGAGTGAAATGGAACAAGAGTACGCAGCGTTGGTATAAAAAAAAAGAAGAAGAAAGCGACTTTAATGAAGAAAACGATACATTCGAAATCACGAGAATTTAGGTATTTAATGAAAAATGACGAGAACGTCGCGAATTCGCGATTAAGAATGTAAAATTGTCTCGTCAGTTCATCGAAATACCTGTTATATAGCCTTATATAGCTTTTCTTTTTTCTTTTTCTTTCTATTTTTAAGAATGTAGTTGAAAATCGATACGCGTATTACACGCGATCAAGGACTTTTACATCACACATAAGGGTAGTGTAGTGTGTTAGGAATTACAAGAATGTACTTTATAAATTCGCGAACTTCTATAGAGTATCAAGTTATTGAGTGCGATCCCACACAAAGAGTCAGAGACATTTTTTAGACATGCGTGTTGTATGGAACGTCGCTATTTGAATAACGTGTGAATTTCTGCAAAGGTCTCGTTACCCGTTTGTGAATGATGGTTTCATTTATCCAATTAGGAATGATATTACTAAATATTTTGTCTAATCGAGCGCAACTCATACACTTGACAATGTATTAACCCTTGAGTTCCGAGATCGCGATTTTCATAAAACAAGCAAAAAGTGTCACGAGTGCGATAGTACTTTTGAGAACTCGACATAAAAGAGAAAATTTTATATCAGTAGACTTTAAAGTGCTAATCATGCTAAAGTTATGATGACTATTATATATTTATTATTAAAAGAAATAATAATGCAACTCTTATATAATATTTTTTACAATATTACATTACATGTTTTACATCTTCCTTTTAGAGAATCCTTTATTTTTACAAAAATTCCTGTGATTTTTTGTGAAATTTTAGCAAAACTATTAAAAAACAAAGCGACACTCAAAACAAATACAACATTGTATACGACCACGCATAATAATCAGAAAATTCAAGCCAGAGATTCACATTTGAATTCAGTATGGCACTCAATGTGTTGATAGAGACAACAAAGTTAGTGATACGCATAAGGATTAAAGTAAGTTTATTTTTAGTAGTCAAGGGAAATTGATCTATATTAGTTGTAAACGTACCGGCACGGATGCCTGATTAGAGAAATATAGATGGAGAAGCAACGGATAGATAATCCTTCAATAAAAATTGGATGTCATCAACCCATAAGAAGTCAATCCGACTTGGTGGGCCACGTTCCACTGAGGAACTTATGAATGCGCTTAATTAGAAAATAAAGAACGTCCAGTTCCTAATATCCTTATGTATAGATAAACATATGTAGGCACGATACGTCTAATATGTAATAAATTATATTATACATATTGTATATCTATAATATTAACGATTATATATACGTCATACACTCGCGAGTGCCTGTTATACTACTTTATACCATGTTCTTTCTTCCTCTTATTTTAAACGCGACGGAGGTCTGCTCGGAAGTGCCATTGTAAACTTGAAGTAAAAATCTAAGATAAAAATCTAAATAAAAATATTGAAATAAAAATGTAAAACACTCTTTTTATAATTTTTTCCAAAATATTTATATTTATTTAGATATATCATTTAGAGAAGAAGAGAGAGAGAGAAAGAGGGAGATAATATTTTCGTACGATGTATCCAAACTATGTTATTGTACAACAATTTTATAAAATCTAAAGCAACAAATGATGAGGCAAATAAGAGCCAATTATTTAGGCGGAATTAACAATATGATGAATATCAATGTGACATATAATTTCGTGTTACAAAAAAATTCAAACGTTTCAGTCCTCTTTTTGGACTCTCTTCCATTCCATTCCATTTTAACCAACTAACAAAAAATACCAATGACTACTCGGTCGTGTCTCTGCATAAGTTGAGTGGACATGAATTTGATTGGAACAATGTTTTAATTTTAGACAGAGAAGATTCTCACATCAAACGAATTACGTCAGAAATGTTTTATATAATCAGACAAGAGAATGGCTTGAATTTGCAAGAATATGTTTTAGGTCTCCATGAAGATTACATATCAATTATCGAGAGACTTCCGCGTGTTTAATTTGTTGATGTATCTGATGTTAGCTGACTTTCTTGTTTTGGTGTCGCTTAACCTTTATTGTAGTCTTGCTGTGATTCTAAACATATTTATTCTTTTCTCTATTCTGCCGAATTTCATGTTTGTAAGAACATAAGTGTGATGACCATAATGGTTGAGTTTGGCGTTTTGACTGTCGGGTAAGTTAAAAAAGTGTTATTTCTGATTTAGCAAATATTCAAAATTTTCGTTTATTTAAAGGCCACAGTCAACCCGTCAATGTCTTTATCATATTGGTATAATATGATTGCCGATGCGAGTCTCAACCGATTTTTTTATATTGGCGACGTTATTTTATTTTGCGATATTTGTAATTAATGTTGTCACTGAAGAGGGTCCAAAAAGAGGACCGAAACGTTTGAATATTTTTGTAACACGAAATTGAATGTTACATTGATATTCATTATATTGTTAATTCCGCCTAAATAATTAGCTCTTATTTGCCTCATTTGTTCTATTAGATTTTATATCTTTAGAGCCTTTACCTACATTAATAATTTTATAAATTAGAAAAAATACGCGTGTGTATTATCATATTGTCAAACATTATTATCCTCCGATAGTTTAAATTATTCGCATTAACATGCAAATTGGTTTTTAGAAACGACGAATAGATAATTTTTTAAAAAATAAAAATGACGTATCGTCAAACCATAAGAAGTCAATTTGACTTGATGAGTCACACTTTATCCATTTACAAATGCGCTTAATTAAAAAATACCCAGACTCTCTCTCTCTCCCTCTCTCTTACAAAATACTGACTTTTACGATTGTCTAATGATATTTGCCAACGCATATGGTTTATTCGTGAGTCGCATACGAAACTTTGTTCTGTCGATGGGTTAGATGATCCGAGTCATCTGGTTTTTCGTTGGGCCATGTCAGTTTAGAGTTTCATGTGACTTCTAGTGCGGCGACCCATTGTTCTTGTTAGTTCTTCCGCGCAAAGCCCTAATCTTAATAGTTCCTGGACCCTGACGGATACATACAACGTGAACGTTACAGATGTGGTGGATGCATAAACAATTTCGCTTTTTACGATTCGATATATGATAGGATCTATAAACTCTCTCCCCCCCCCCCCCTCTCTCTCTCTCTCTTAATGTTTAGATAAAGAACGTCCAGTTTCTAATATCCTTATTCTGCTTAATTTTTTTTACTGATATATTTTTGTTTAAAATAATATTTAGAAATACTAAAAAAATACTGGGAAGCTTACAAGTTTCCCATAAATATCTATGCTTTACTTAAATATAATAATGTTTGTACTACGTTATCTTCAATATTAATGATTGATAATGTAAATATTACACATGTCTCTAGAAATGTTTTATAATAAACGTCTTTTTATAAAATCTTGAATAGACCTATAAGATGTCTTTTGATAACGTCTTAAAGACATTTTATTAAAAATTTGTTAAATGTTTTTTAAACAAGCATCTCTGCTTAAAATATTATATTTGAAAATGATAGAAAATTTATCATAATTTTTATGGTAATTTTGATTCACATATTTCACAACTCATTTACGAAATTTCGTAAGTGAATTCATGTACCATGTATTGTCTATAATTGATAAATATAAATTGATTATACCAACTTTCATATTCAACATGATTGAAAAGTGTAGTATCATAAGATATGATTAAACTACATAGATATTCTTTTCATTTTTATTTGATTCTATTTTATAACCATCATTATAAGTATAATTATTATGAAAGAATATTATATAGATATAGAATATTATATTAAGTAGTTTATTATAAAATAATAATAAATACATAATGCAATATTTACTATGATTCAGAAATATCAATTTATTAAACTCAATATTCAAGATGATTGAAAAGAACAGTACCATAAAATATGATTAAAATATATAGAAAGTCTATGTTGTACGTTTCGGTGCATGATAAGTCATATATATAAATCAATATAGGAATTCCATCCATTTCAATCTTATCCAATCATTTTCTATTAAATATTTTAAGCAAGGATGCTTAAGAATGCTCACCATATAACGATCAACGAACTATTTAGCTCCATTTAACAGTATTATGGGAAAACCAGGTTAATTTTCATTGCTTTGAATCTCAACTAATGGCATCTACGAATAAGACATGATCTGTTCTTTTCAGCTGTACTGCTGCACTGGTGCCATAAGTTAAAATAAAATAAAATATATTTGTCTTACTCTAACTTAGAGTCTTTAACTTTGCATCAATATAGCAGTGTAGCTGAAAAGAACAGACCTATATTAATGCTTGCTATATACCAAAGCGCATTATCTAAATCTTTTTTGATCATGAATGTAAAAATATCTGGACAGGGCATATTGTCGCGGGGGTGAAGTCCAAAGGGTGAGGGGAATAAAATATTTACTGTAATAGATTTGACATACCAAGATGGCAACGGTCGATAATTTCACGGAAAGTGAACTATTTTAACGTCTTAGAACAAATAAAACTTTCTCGTTTGAAAAAAAAAAATAGAAAATGAATTAAGTTTATATAAAGGATTCAAAAGGAATATTTTTAAGGATTTTCTATCCTTAAAAATACAAAATCCTGGCAAAATTCTAAGACAATTTTTTATCTTGCAAGATTTTGTCCGAGGCTTATTTTTTAAGTTATTAGCAAAAATAGTTTGCCTATCACAAGTTGAATATAGGAGGTAGGCAGGGGCGACGAAACTTACCGTCAAATATAGATGCTAACTTGGAGTGCCTGCTACAATCAGTTAATCGCTACGTACAAGCTACATTTTAATATTCACTGCCAGCATAAAAATCTACCCAGCAAACACAATAATATAACATCGTCATAATATAACGGAATGTAACGTGTAATATAACATGTTTGTTACATGTAATATATATGTTAGTTGTAACTTCCCACTCAAACAATATTGCAACTATATAACAGAAATATAATATGTTACTAAAATGTTATATAGCTGTTATATATATTGCTGAAATGTTATATAGCTGGAATATAAATTATTATTTCCCAACAATTATAGATATTTAATTGTACGCAGAGATTATAAGCTATCACGCAAATATCACTTAATTTGTAAAAATATGCTCCTAAAAATATTATATGTCACGTCTTGGTTGTTTTTTAAAACGTGTTTATTGTCCTTTTTGGGTCAATGGATTTAACCACTTTACCCTGGGATGGACAAGTTCGTGTGATTGTGAGTGAGTAAATGTGTAAACGTATGTGTGTGAACAATAATGATTTTACTTACTGATTTTGGTTTTGTATTGATTCTTTCTTTTAAGTAATTATTTT